TCATTATTGCTTTGACTGAAGTCGAGAGTTCGGTCCCTTTCCTAAATTAGGCTCGATAACCAGGGACAAACACTCATCTAGGAGAAAAACTCCTAAATGAAACAAGTGCTGCCTTGTACTTTGTTCCTTATATGAACGAATGCTATGGAATCAAAGCCAGAAATAAAAGCTGGATGTACACAGTTTTAGCGTGCAATATAGCGCATAGCATTTTGACACTCGGCGATGTATTAGTTAAATGAAATAATTCAGGTTAAATCTGCCCAGACTAACTCTGCGCATTAACTAAAAAATTAAAAGGAAATATGAACGGATCTAACTACACATTGACTAACACAACATTCTTTTTACAATAGTTGGCTGGTGTTCTATTTTTGGTTTTACAATAAAAGATCACAATTATTTCTATTCGTTTTATATCTTCAACAACGTCTAGAACCAGCGTTTTCTGCCCACACGTGTGTGTGAGCTAAACCAAATCTTGTGTGTGAGCTAAACCAAATCTTGTGTGTGTGAGCTAAACCAAATCTTGTGTGTGTGAGCTAAACCAACCCTTGTGTGTGTGAGCTAAACCAAATCTTGTGTGCGTGAGCTAAACCAAATCGTGTGTGTGAGCTAAATTAAATCGTGTGTGTGAGCTAAACCAAATCTTGTGTGTGAGCTAAACTAAATCTTGCGTGTGAGCTAAACCAAATCTTGTATGTGAGCTAAACCAAATCTAGTGTGTGTGTGAGCTAATCCAAATCTTGTGTCTGATGTTAATTCACACATGCACACAAGAGTACACATAAATGCTTGCACATACGTACACACGTGTGTATATGTGAACTCGAAAACTTGTATGCATGCATGAGGTGACACACATATGTTGTTATACTGTAAGGATATATTTAAGTGCATTATTCTAGACGGAGATATAGAAAAATAATTATTTTAAGCGTTTGTAAATACACCTTTTATTTTCGTTACAAAAAAAAACATTTTAAACGTAATTAATATGAATGTAATTAATATAACTTTGACAAAATATTCACTTTAAAAAAAAATAGTAGATGACATTGTATAAAATCACAATGGCATTAGTGACTGTGTAGGTAACTGGAGTAACGATAGTTAATTTGTACCTGTTTGTGTACCTGTTTGTGTACACGTTTGTGTAAATGTTTCTGCAACAACTACCACCCCAACATTAAATTTACCTCTGAAATTTCAGGCAGTTCTGTTAACTTCCTGGGTATGACAATATCGCTTAACACAACCAAAGTTGGGAGGACTGTATTCTACAAACCAACCGACTCACATTCACATCTGCTTTACTCTTCGTCAAACTCCCCGGCCTGCAAAAATTCTATACCATTCTCACAATTTTTAAGACTACGACGTATTTGTCTAGATGATGACGACTTTTGGATCAAGGCCCATGAGCTATTACAGTTCTTCCGACTCCGGTAATACTTGGAGCATATACTCGAGTCAGCACTACACCGCATAACAACTGTTAACCACCAAGCCTTCCTTCAACAATTTCCAAAACAAAAGTCAGATAGAACTAATCTCATCTTACCCTACCATCCTCATTCGGTTTTGGCTAAAAATATCATTATAAAAAATTATTCTTTCCTCAAGTCAGACCCCCATTTAGGCCATTTATTTCAACAGAATCCTTTGGTTGTGTATAGAAGGGAACGCAATCTCAGAGACCTTTTAGTTCGCAGCCGCCTGCCACCCACTACCAACACCAGATTTGGCACCACTCCTTGTCCCCGTAAATGCAATACCTGTCATTTCACCCTTCAGGTTGAATCACTCCAGCTGCCGAAGGGAACCCTCAAAATTAAAAATCACTTCAACCGTGAGTCCCATAACGTAGTTTACGTCATCCAGTGCAGGCGATGCAACATCTTTTATATTGGACAAACAGGGAAACGATTGTCTGACAGGGTTAGCCAACATCTGCGTTCAATCAACAATGAAGACGGTCTTCCTGTGGCCAAACACTTTAACAAGAGTGGACATGACATAAAAAAAAAACTTTTGTGTAACCGCCGTTCGGTTTCGCCACAATTTTAAAAATCGCCTTAGCACTGAAACGCGACTAATACTTAAATTTGGTACACGGGCACCCGATGGCTTGAATGAACAGATATCTTTCACCTAACCAACCCCCTTCCCCCCCCCCCTCTCCCGCATACACCACGCCCCCAATCCCACCCCTATACGGTGTCCAAGCGTCCTTCTCACGCGTCTTTTCTTTTGGATAGCGTTGCTAGCAGACAAGACGTGTTTTTCACTGTCCAGCTAAGTCAAAAACTGTGTTACTGTTTGTCTTTATTTGTCTAATCTGTAACCACACTGTTGTGTGCTGACGAAGACCTTGGGTCGAAACGTCCATAGTACTTGTAACTGTCTTTAACTTGTGAGGTAACTAACACTATCTGTTTTATTAATAATTATTCTATCTGAAATAGTACTCAAGTAATAGGCTTTTGAAAAATTCAAAGTAGAAAAAGTACCACTTCCGGTTATCGGAAATCGCTCAAAAGTTGAACGGGATCTACGATTTTGATAAAATACTTATATATCAGATTTCATCAACCTTGCTGTAACGATACTCCAGTTATATTGTTTACACACAGACAGACAGACACACACACAGACAGACACACAGACATTCGGACAAGATTGCAAAATTATGTTTTTCCGTATCAGTGAGGTGTAAAACGTCGAGATTTGTAATTTTATTATTTTGCACGATTACAAGACTTTCTCTATACTTTGTTTATACGAGAAAGTAAAAAATGTAAGGAAACCTTCAAGGGAGCTTATCAAGATATGTATACTTTGAAATATATTTTATTGGTTATGTCCCTTAGTGTAATTATCATTTAAATATGATCTCAGAAAGTGTAAAATGTATGTTTTAGTGAATAAAATATATAAACAAAAGAACATCACAGCAACTTTCTCTTAAAGATTTTAGTCCTGTTGATGCAGTCTCTAACACTTAACACATTATTTTTAAGCAGACCTTAAGAAATTAAGTGTTTATTGTATTGATATAAATACAAATAATAACAGGTCAAAGTGAGTGTCTTGTTTTTGGCTTTGTGATTATATGTTTTGTTATTTTGTGAGTTCACCATACAACATGTTTTGTGTTGCACTTCTATAAACTAACGATAGTAAAACTACTGCAGCGGGATAAATTTGCGTCTTGGTCTGAGAAACATTTTTGACGTTACTTCATGTCAACAACTACTGACCCAGCATCGCTAGTTTAGATGCACTTAACTTATATAGACGTACAATACCTATCTCCATACCACACACCAACTCCAATGAATTTATCTGTGCTTTTATCATATGTCACACAGTCAAGATAAAAACCATCTTATGATGATACAAATATTCCTAGTGTTCGATAAAATAAGACCGTAGCATCCAAGTACCTGATCAAAAGTTCAAATTGTCACAGACAAGTGAAGGATCATCAAGCTCTTCATAACGAGCACATCTGTTACATACACGTGACTCTGTGGAGTAGAAAACATCTGTATGATTGACATGTTCAAGTTCACACATACATGCTAAACTCTGACTTTTTGATCCTTATAAGGAAACTTAGTCTTGTCATTAGTTTATGTTGTAACTTTCAGTATTTTTTATACCATTTTACTACAGGTGGGGATGGGGGGGGGGGGGTTAACTTAGTGCGAGGAGTGGGCATTCTTAAAATATATTTTTTCTATAAACATTATTATTATATAAAAATATATATTTCTTTCTAATTTTTGCAAGTGGATGGGAAATGGACGTGCTTAGGTCAATGACCCCACCCACTCCGAAGAGGTGCCTAAAAAAAATACTGATAACACCTAAAGACAAATACATTGTATGAGTCACTGTATATTTATACAAAATTGACCAAAAACAGAACAACAAAAAATGGAAGTATGGATTATATTTCATTTATATTTACACAATCATCTATAACGGCATGGTTTAAAACTGTACGTTTAATACCATCCTCATTTATTCTGTAATACTTTTCACACTCTGATGAACACCATTGTAATATTAGCACCATCAACCTCGTGTATTGCTCATTTAACATTAAAGTACACGAACTAGATACGTATGTATTACTTAAAAGTAATTACATTTACTGAGATTTTATTACAATTTAAAATGATTAAGCGAGGCCAGTGTCGGTAGATTTAACATAAATAATAGCAGAAGTAAAAAAATCATAGCAAAACGTGTGTGTGTGTGTACCCATATTCAATTAGTGTTGTATGGGCAAATTATATCCCAACAAATCGTATTCTCATTATATTTTTTGTTATCACACTTTTACATTAAAACTAGTGCTGACGTTTTTTACCACTGTAAACTTTGAAAAGTTTTCAGTTGGTGTCGTCGTCCCCCCCCCCCTCCCCGTCGGAATGATATTTTAAATATACGCCTAGAAAATAATAATAGTTGTATACTGTCCATTCGGGCGTTTGTCACATTCGGGCAAATGTCCATTCCGGCATCTGTCGCATTTGGGCAGTGTCCATCCGGGAAATCGACCTTCGGGCGAACGGCATTCTGGCAAGAGTCTTTCGGGAAAACGTCCGGCTCCCACTGTGTGCTATGTGAACACGAAAACAAAGTGCTGAACATTGCCTTGGATCGCATTGTGTATTGAAACAAAGCCAGTCACTCTCCCTAACTAACTCAGCAATTTACTCTACGCTAAGTGAGTTTATTATTTTATACAAAGATTGAATTGCTGATGTAATATCAAGAATGTTAGGGTACAGATCCCTACACAAACAGGGTAAGCTGGCACATACTTGTCATGATTTGATCACAACATCACACAGTAGTTATAAATGATATAGTCACATGATATGTAAAATGGATGATAACACAATTTAAATGTGTTATATGTTAAAGGAGAAGATAAATGACAAGATATTAAGCCAAAGAACGGGACAGTACAAAGTACACATAAAACACAGACATCACTACATGGTACAGATAACTTGTGTTATTGACTTGACATTTTGTTCATTGAAGTGAAGCGGCTGTTTGTTACTACTGGAAGTAGAGTCTAAATCAAGGACAAAACAACTGAACACTTTGTTTTATTCTTCAGTCAAAAGTGAGTTCACACTTTCAAATAGTGACGTAAATATTAAATCCGTGTTTTACTCAAAACATGTACGACAACAAGAGAAATTTGAGTTAAATTCTCTGAAATTAATCGTTTATAAATAATATTTAGATAATTATATATATATATATATATATATATATATATATATATATATATATATATATATATATATATATATATATATATATATATATATATATATATATAGTGTATAATACATGTTTGATTCTCACGATGTAGTATGCAGTGAAAAATTTGTATAACGTCTTTCTAAATCGCAATGTACGTTCCAGCGTGTGCATTCTAACTATTTCTGTAATACTCAGATGCGCCCTAGAGTTCAGGTCAAATATGTTACAGAACACATGAACTATTTAGAAGAAAAGATACACGTCATTAAACCTGTGGTTGAAGCTTTGCAAGCTGTAAGTGGTTATTTTCCCTGCCTGTATTCATCATTGACTTGGTGCTTTTTATATTGAGCATGTTGTAGATAAAGATAGAGTTCATTATTTAAAAACTACAAACATTAAAGAAAACAATTTTCTCAAATAACATACTGACACACATATAAATTAAACGCCAAGACATAATGTTTTATGTCAGCAGGCTGTAGAAAAAAGTAAGACTTGGTTAAAAGATAAAAGTGACAACAAATCTTTGACATACTGTGATCTATGTCAAGAACTTGAATCAGCGACCACAGCCATGTTGGATGTAGCGGCTCATATTTTAGGTAAATATTTTAAAATATAAGTCTCTTTTATTTGAATTGATATTCTGTTAAATCTCAATAATTTAATACAAATAATAAAGTAAAAACTGGACAATTAAATATGTTTTGTATTTATTTAAAATTAATATATTTTCATATTATCAAATAACATTAATCATTTATATAAATTCTAAAGAAAGTATTTTACATACAAAACTTAACATACAAAAATTAAATTAATAAATATTCAATATTATGTAAAACTTCAAGTGAATTATTATTATACATATTTAAAATAATTTATGTTCTCTGAAAATTAAAAGAGGAAAATAAAGACATTGTTGAAGATGGAAGGTCATTTTCATCTCAGTCTACCTCAAAAACAATAGCAACAGAAAAATGTGGCACTAGTCAGTCAACAGATCAAATTCTTAACGAACGTTATAAACCATCAGGTATCTATACACATATTTTTACAAAAAAAAAATTAAGTTAAAACAAATATTTTCAAGGTGAATGACTCAAATATATTTTCCTAAAGGAAAAGTAGCATATTATAATGATTTTCAAACTTTATTTCTATTGTGATTGACTTAATTTTATATTACTCTAGAAATATTGAGTCGACTTGAGCAGATAGAGACAGCCATATCTTCTCTACAAGACGTCAGTCGACTTGAGCAGATAGAGACAGCCATATCTTCTCTACAAGACGTCAGTCGACTTGAGCAGATAGAGACAGCCATATCTTCTCTACAAGACGTCAGTCGACTTGAGCAGATAGAGACAGCCATATTTTCTCTACAAGACGTCAGTCGACTTGAGCAGATAGAGACAGCCATATCTTCTCTACAAGACGTCAGTCGACTTGAGCAGATAGAGACAGCCATATCTTCTCTACAAGACGTCAGTCGACTTGAGCAGATAGAGACAGCCATATCTTCTCTACAAGACGCCAATGACAAGTCTACAGATGACATATCAGAAATAAAACAATGGAGAGACAACTTTGTAACAGAACAGAGTGACATGGGGGTGATCATTGAACAACTGACTAAAAAACAAAAGCAGAATTTTAAAAACTTTAGAAAACAAATGAATGAACAAGATAACATAGTAAAGGCTCTGAACAAAGAAAATGAAAGTTTAAAAGAAAAAGAAACCAGTTCAAACAAAACACTAGAGAAACTGTCACTAGGTATGAAAGAATATGAAAACAACTTACTCGAAATAACTAAAAAGATGCAAAATCACACAGATAAAACAGAAAGTATAACACAAGAAATAAAAAGCTATTCTGATTTAATTGTTTCTTTACAAGAGGATTATAATAAAACCAGGGCAAATGTATCTACCAAATTTGAGAAGTTACAATTCAAGGTAAACATTAAGATTGCTAATTAATTGGGTATACATTTGCTGACAAGTGTATATACTACTCATTTTATAAAGAAGTTGTACATTAAATTAAGTCATTTTATTAATTTTTTCAACAGTAAGACCATTGATTCTAAAACTATACTTAAAGCAGTTTTTATTGCTGCAATTTAATCTCCAAAAGAAATAGTCAAACTTGTAGTAATCCAATAAAATTATCGGCCATTTAGCACAACCTGATGTACCAACTTCTACAGCAAAAATTGATGCCCATTGACAGATTGTTTCAAATATTTAACCAGAACTTAGAAACTAGAGAAGAAAGATCAAAGAAGGTATGTTTGTAAATATATAATTACTGTATAGTCTGTAGCATTGCGCATTAATTATCTAGTTATTTTTAGACCATTGAATGAAAATTGATAATTAAGTGATATCTAATGTTAGTTTAAAAAAAAAGATAGTGCTATAAAAATCAGTTTATCTAATTATAATTTGCTATTGTAAAGTGAGGGGACCAATTGTATGATTTACGCAGCTATGTGATAATTTTATTCATATAATTTACACTTTATTTTTATTCAGCTGGAAACTATGGAAAATGTTATGTCAAAGTTGACGATGGATTTCAATGTAATCGGTAAATTTCTTTTGGAAAATATTAATCTTACATCATGATATAATTTAATTGGTCAATCTATATTATCACTATATAGATGTAAATATAAAACTTGGATCTGGTCGTTTTTTTGTTAATAGAATTACCATATTTAATTTTACAATCTTCTGATGTATTACGGCTTTTAATACTAATCGTTTGCATATATAATGAAAAATCAACGGATATCATGTCTTGAGGACGGTGCCCTGTCAAAACGGCCCGGGACAAATCGGCCCCATCAAAACGGCCCGTTAATATGACCCCGTCAAATCGACCCCCGACAAAACGACCCAGTCAAAATAGCCCCGTCAAAAGGGCCCCGACTTATTGGCTCCCGTCAAATGGGCTCCCTATATATTGACTCGCGACGTATAGGCTCCCGACAAATGAGCTCCCGACATTTAGGCTCCCGACAAATGGACTCCCGACATATTGGCTCCCGGCAAATAGGCTCAGGACATATTGGCTCCCAACAAAGCGGCTCCTGACATATTGGCTCCCGACATAAGGGCTCACGACAAATGGGCTCACGACAAATGGGCTCCCGACAAATGGGCTCATGACATGTTGGCTACCGACAAATGGGCTCCCAACATATTGGCTCCCGAAAAATGGTCTCCCAACATATTGGCTACCGACAAAATGACTCCCGACAAATTGGCTACAGACAAATGAATTGTGGCAGAAAAGTGACCATTTTGTCCTACCTCCACTAGCACTATAACCTCTTTTAAATGTCTGAATGAAATTGCTTTTTCATGGAAAAACATCAATTCACAAACAAATCAAGCCCTTAACAGCTAAAATTCACCAATTCTAAAACTTTGATTAAGTTTAATATACAACAGTTAACGTCTGTTGCTTAAAAGCAAGCACAGAAGTGAAAATGTATGATATACAAGATGTTTACAAGATAACTGCACTTTGTTTTGATAACTTACAAGCATACAGCATGTTGGACCCCTCTCCTCACACACTGAGTTGGAACAGCCTATCACCGACTCATTTATGGAAGGCATATATAGATGACCCTTAAATTAAAACATAATATTTCTTAAAATAGATAAACTAATATAAAAATAAGGCCTGCCGAACAAGAGATGCAAACGTTGTATTACTTAAGAGTGTTGGATAAGCTAACTCTAAAGAATATTGATGAAGGGGTCCCACTGGCAGGTGTCATATTCAATGAGACCGCTTTGCCGGAAGACGTAGTCTCTACAGAAACGGTATTGCCAGTGGTCCTTTTGTCGGGAGCCAAATTGACAGGAGCCTATTTGTCGTGAGACAAAATGATGGGGGCCTATTTGTCGGGAGTCGTAATGACGGGAGACGTTTTGTGGAGAAACTAAATGGCGGGAGCCTATTTGTCGGGAGTCGTAATGACGGGGGCCATTTTTGACGGGGCTCTTATGTCGGGGCCGATTTGTCGGGGTCGTTTTGACGGGGCCGCTTTGTCATTGGCCGTTTTGACGCCGCACGCTTGAGGACGGTACTAAACTAATAGTTTCAATACGCAGGAAACGATTAACTAACACTACAAAAAATGACGGGGTGCTTAACTAATCGTTTCAATCAGTGTTGTTATAGAGAATGGTGTAAAAATAATCCACAAGTCTTTATATGTAGAGAAATGGTTTGTTTTATTGTTTTTATTTTGTACTTACATGTCATAAGTCATGCACTCTCACTTGCACATGTTTCATATTCGTAGCATGTATTGGTAGAAATTAAATATGTATATCATACATATGTTTTCTAATCAACAGAGTCGCGAGTGTGTAACAGATATGCTTGCATTGCACAGCTTGCAAATCCCACACCTGTCAGTGATAAATCAATTATTTCAACATTTAGTGAAGTACGTGAATATAACCGTCAACATTTTAATCAAACAACAGGAAAATTTGTATCACCACATGATGGTTTATATCTTGTCTGGGTCACTCTACATGAATGTGGCCATAAACTGATTGGAGTTACTGTGATGGCTGGCGGCAGGTTGTGTGCAGTTATAGATGTTAAATCTAATAGAACTAGCGCTGCTGGGTCAGTGGTTGTCGAAATGAAGAAAGGGGAAGAACTTTTCTTTAAAGTGTATGCAGCAGAGCAAGGCGCAATGTTATCCAGCTTCAGTAGTTTTACTATCGTTAGTTTATAGATGAACATCATCAAACATGGTGGTTGGAAAATTATTTTAAAAAAATACGAATGTATAAAAACTAAATTTGTAAACACACATTACTAAACTTCTAAGTGATTAGACTTCAGGTAAACTAATGGTCTATGTTTACCATACACATTTCTAACCAGTCCAATCAACATGTATGTATCTTATTAGACTACTCTCTACTTACCTATTTAACTTTGAACACAATATGATAACTCTGGCTTAATGCGGATAACTTAAATTACGTTTTATCTATGTATCAACATGTATCTTTCACCTGAAACAAAAACCACACATGAAATATAATGTACAGTGATTTATTAAAAGTATCATTCACTCTGCTCATATACTTACTATCTTTTGTTTGTTGTTATTTTTTTCCTTAATTTTTATTTTATTATCAAAATCCAATATAAATATGCCTTCAATGTTTCAAATATAAAGAAACAAGAGAATATGAGAAAAATAAGAGGAGGTGTAACGAATAATGTAGTACAGTTCGGGAAGGAAGAAATGATACAAGTTATACGACTGTAATTAGAATGTATTAGAAAAATATTTTCAAAACCTTGAATAAAAAGAACATAGATCTAGTAAGAATTTGCATCTGCCAAGTATACAGAGTTGTATATTAGGTTAAAAAAGATAAAATAAAAGGAGATAATTTTAGATTCATTCTCGTCCGCTTTATTTGTTAGCTGTTTACTCTAACATGGGTTAAAGCAATGATAGTTAGACAACACAATTTTATAGTGTGGCTTTTATTTTTAGACAAAATTTTCAGGTTGGATGTGAAGATCAAAATTTCCGAAAATTAAAAAAGTGGTGGGTGAATAAAAAATTGTAAAGGACAAAATGTCGTTAATAGTAAAACGCAACACCATTTGCAAATTTTAAATAATGAGGGGGTGTGGAAGGGAAATGTCTTTACAGGGGGGGGGGTGGATCGATCTGCTGCTTATCGTATTGTGCTGAGTGAGGTGTCGCTTAAAGACATCTCATATTGGTCTACATGTAAAAAAAATTTTTTCGCCTCAGACATGTAATTTACAGCGTCAGTTTGCCTTGCGTGCTCGCTTTAGTATTACAGTTTTCATCATCGGCTAGTGAGGAGTGATACAGATTTACAATAGTAATATGTCTTTCTTACTTGCAGCATACTTTCATTGATTTAAGACGGTTTACTTATACATATATCTAATATAAACGTCTAAATATAGAAATAAAAAAAAACAATCTGAAAATGCAAATGTGTAATTAAATGTAGGTTCAAGTGATTTTTTTTCCATCGGCGTGGTGCGTTAAGGGGCCGGGGGAGGGGGAGGGGGGAGGATAAATTTGGTTTTTTAAGTAGACCTGAAAAACAAATTGGGATTACAGAGAAATAAAATAATACAAATTTTAAGCAACCGGAAAAGTTATGTTATTACAATGTGACACATCAAATCAAACATTCTTCCCTTTCCAACATCTATATTCTATAGCAGTCCTCAAACAGTTTTTTTTTAAAATTCAAAAGTTTTAAACATTTAAAATAGTAATAATAATTTATTCGATTGTTTTACACAGCATCAAAGACATGAACGGCAATTGCATATTGTATATTGTATATATATATATATATATATATATATATATATATATATATATATATATATATATATTTATATATATATATATATATTTAAAGGACGTGTGCTGACCGGTATGACTCAAGTTGGGATATAGATTCTAGAGCTATATATGTAGACACTAGGATAAAGAATAGGAAGGAGTTATTGATTTAGTCTTATTCATGAATGTCATCTAGTTGTCTGAATGTAAGATAGCCTTATTGGTTCTTAAGGTTGTAACCTCTCTAAATGGTATCGAAACTAATCAAGTGACTCAAACCACTCACTCGGCGTAACAATCGATATATTATATTTTGTTCCCTAGCCCAACTAATTCTCGTGTATAAGGGTGCCGCTTGTTGTTTGATTAGGATGTCGTATATATTTTTTGTCTTCCCCAATTATGCGTTTGTTTCCTTGGAATGTTGTTAGTGTTTCTTTATAAAAGCTGTCTATGTCTTTTACCCCATAGTGTGGTGCTGTGATGTTTAATTTTAAAATGCTCTTTATGTTTAACCCTATGTAGTATTGTCCTTATGGATGATAATGTGGTTCTATACTTATTCTATCCAGATGTTTTAATCAGAAGGTGTTTATTTTAGTATTAATGTCGTGTAGCCCTATACCTCCATTTAATTTGTTTTGTATTAAGACTATGAGGCTAATGTTTCTAATCGTGTTTTTGAAAATGAACACTCTAATGTGCTTTTTTTTAAAAAATAAGTTGGTTATTGTAGAGTTCGTCGCTAAGAAATTTTTTTTGGAATGATACAAAATACTAAGCCCTAAACAATCTATAGAACTCCAATATAAAACATTAAAGCTGTCTATCACAAATTAGTTTTTGTTTACTTAAGAAGACGGTTTAACGTTAAACAAAAAAAATAATAGGAGATAACATAATAACTCGGATCTGTTTATCTCCCGTCTCCTGTAACATGGCAGTAACCAGATATAATCCATCGCACCGTCTGTTTTGAAGGTTGGTTTTCATGACTGCGTCTATGAGATAAAGTTTAGATTTCATACCGTTTTTTGTGACAGTTGAGAAGATAAAATACAGGATATTAAGCCAAAGAACGGGTCAGTACAAAGTAAACATAAAACACAGGCATCACTACATGGTAGAGGTAACTTGTGCTATTGACGTGATACATTGTTTATTGAAGCAGAGCGACAGTTTGTTACTACTGGAACTAGAGTGTCTAAAACAAAGGGCAAAACAACTGAGATCTTTGTTTTATTCTGCAGTCAAAAGTGAGTTTATATTTTAAAATAGTATCGTTAATCTTAACTATTTGTTTAACACATCATAATTTCCTCCAGCTTTATTTTTACAAAGACATATTGGTTAGGCAACTGTAAAATCATAAACACTATAAGGTTGAGTCAATGTCCCTTAAATGCAAATGCTCCTAAATTAACTGCTTATAAATAATGTTTAAATAAATCAAGTCTTAGATTCCATATATATATATATATATATATATATATATATATATATATATATATATATATATATATATATATATATATATATATATATATATATATAATTATATTTACTAGCCGTCACGGCCAGGCCCTGAACTGGCCTCTATGAAAAACGTATCTATAATAGAGCATGACTTGTGTGTTTAGTAATCAGCATGTACCCGGTATTGTTCGGATTTACAATATATATATTACTTTTCGAATTAAGCCTAATGACAACCAACTAAAACCAACTACAAAAAAAACGTATATTACACACAAGATTACACAAATACAAACACAAACAAAATACGAACAAAAACGCAAACGCAAACTAAACCACAAACGCAAACACAAACACAAAGAAAACAAACAAAAAAATTAAACGAAAACAAATACAAACGCAAAACACAAAACACAAGCACAACCACAAACGCAAACCCAAACACAAACACAAAGAAAACACAAACGCAAACAAAAAAGGCAAATACAAATACAAATAGAAACACATACGCAAAGCTAAACGCAAACATAACTCAGAATAATGGAAACAAACGCAAATATAAACACAAACTTAAATGCAAACATAAAAGCTTACTGCTCATAGTTCAGACCTGGGCGCCAAATCGCATCTTTCTGGGGCGCCGGCAAAACCGACTGTTTCAACTTAATGGTAGGCAATTTTATTCTTAGTTGTATGCGCTCAATTAAACGAACGTCGGCGCCATAGCACACCCAAGAAGCCCGGGACGCCAAGTAGCACCCTTTCGGGGCGCCGGTGAAGGTCCAGATTCGATTCACTTAAAGAAAATAGTAACCTTTCTTACCCATGGTCTATCGCACTGTTAAAAACGAAATTATGCACCAAAGCACTAACAGAAAAGCCCAGGGCGCCAAATCGAACCCTGCCGGGACGCCGAGGGACGTGTCTGATTCAATTTAATGAACGAATATAATACCCCAAGCTTATCCGCAAACGGAAAGAAAACGGAAACACAGAGGACTTTAGGAGTTTTTTTCCAAACTGTTATTGATTAAAAATTATTAGCAGTGCAAAGCAATGTCATCCTATGGTAACGTTGAAGCTATAAAACATAAACATAGCTCTTAAAATAAATTGTACGTTCAGTGTAGAAAATAAATGAAAGGCAGTATTTAGAATACCTACCACATGTCAGTTGATCAATCCCCGCTGTTTATGTAATTATTTTTTTCGCGATACCAAAACAAAGTACTAAAAAGTAAAAAAAAATTCCCGCTGTTGTAACTTTTTAGCGCAATTTCCATACGGACAATTGCGATTATTAACTCGTCATTTCTGGTGATGGATGGATGGATGTGCGCAGCTTTAAGTCGTATCTCCTCCTCAACGAAGCAATATCAAGGACTAGTTCCAAAACAAATATGTTAAGCAAGTTCCGAGGATGATTGTGGGCTAAATAAATTACCGGAATTCCTTCCTGGATTTCCAGGAAAAGCAAAAAAAAACCTCGAAAACCTGCAGTTTTTTGCCCATATCTCGGCAACCAGACCACTTAGCGACTGGAAACATTTACCAATTGATTCCTGCCATTATCTAGAACAATATTGCCGAAGAAAGTTTTCAAAAATATCCTTTCGTTCGGTCACACAATTTTTTTTAATATATTTTAAACTGAGCATCGTGTAGGCCTAGGATATTTACTACTTTTTAAAACTGAGCATCGTGTAGGCCTACTCGTTAAAATAAAACTCTTTCCGTTGCTGAATATATGATTTATCATTTACTTATTAATTCAAACGTTATTTTTGTATCCTATTAATTTATTTATAATTTATATGAGAGTGATTGGGAGTTACAATTACAAGGTTTTGTTTCGCTAGGCCTAATCATTTTTCACATTTTTTAAAAACAAACTTGATCACTATCTATGTTTAGATAACATAAGGAAATTGCACTTAAATTGTCACTAGACTTTTTATTAACTTGTTTTATATCGTGAAGTAATTTTGAAGGAAAATTAGCAATAGTTACAATCGAGGGACAAGGGGGATAACTAAAACTAGTCAACGTACTTGGACAACATAGACCCAAAGACAGTAAATGTTATAAAAACCTGGAAAAATTATTAACAAACACATAGGCCTACAATCGACATGACATTATTTTAGTTGGGGACTTTAATTTCGTGGAAGACAGATTAGTCATTGTAGGACC